CTCGGCCCCCCTGTGCCGCCCCACGGCCCGGTGGCCCACCGGCTCCCCGGCCACGTGCCACCGCCCCACGCCCACGGCCAACCTAAACAAAAAATATATATTTAAAACTCACAACGATGTAGATTTAACATTTTTTAGGCCAAAAAAACAATTTTATTCTCCAGTTTTGAGCTCGAACAGTTAATTACATACAAATGCATAGATTGAATAAAAACTGAGTGAATAAATTGTTGTCCTTTGTCAAGCCTACGTTTTACGAGAAATAGTGGGAAAAGTTTTGGAAGCTGTATAACAAATGTCTTTAGCAGGAGTTTCTTTGCCGCATTGGAAGATTTTTTAAACAAATTTTATGCCGTTTCCAACAGATTTCCCATATTTTTTGGACAATATATACAGTTATTCGTTAGTTTCGCAAAATGAGAATTGCAAATAGTCAAGTTTCCACATTATGTAATCGGAATAATGTAAATAGACATCTAAATATCATAGTACACCCATCAAAATTTGCCCAAATAACTTTTAAATAACCATACGACTAAACCGGATGTTTTCTTATTTTTGCACCATTACACTGGTTGGGTGAAAAGGATCAGGAAATGGGTATTAATTCTTAAAGAAGCCAAAAGTTCTTCAAAATTTTAAATCTGTGGCCAGGAAACAATTTATTTTAAATGAAAAGCATTCTTCCAAGTCGAGCAAATTTGAAAACGTAATTACTTATAAAACATGACTTTTTAGTTAAGAAACAACTTGGCCACATTAGTAAATAATAAACGGGAGGTGTGTTGTTGAGTTACCAATACATTAATCTTCACATAGAAAATTACCATTCAAAACGCTTAACAAACTTTACTAGATGCCTCTGTTTAATCTAGATGCAAGGTATCTCTATAGATTACCATCGATATCCAGCAAACTGTAAATTTTGTAGATAGACTTGGTAGTTTATGAGAAGGTTGGAAATCGGGACCAATTGATATATGCTAAGTACTTACTATGAGCAACTTTCAATGCACTTAAATTTTCCATGACTTTATGAATTAAATAACCCCGAAAAAATACTTTGAAGTTTCTAAGATAATTTTGTACTAAGCACAAGAAATTCGTTCAAGAAACATTTCAGATACTTTAAATCTTCAAATCTTGTTTTCTCTGTACGCCCCAACTCTAACATTTGATAAGTTCCTTACTATGTTAAGTAAAAAAATTGCAAACCGTTTTGTACTTACTACATTGATAATAGTTGGTACTTTGCGCAAATCAAAGTTCAAGAAGGATTATTTTATTCTAGGAAAATCAAGGTATAAAGGACAAACCTGAGTAGTGTTTCGTTCAAGAAAATATCCGTCTGCCCGGCAACAAATGTCTTCCATTTCCTAGTAAAATCAATCAAGAATTTAATAGAATTGTCAACGTACGGCTTAACAACGCAAACTCATTTTAACGATGGGTGTAAAAAATATTTGTAAAATCAAATATTAACTAGGACGACTCGACTAGTAGACAAACTAGAGTCGTCCCAACCTAACCTAAGACTAAAATATTTGATAAAAGGGTTATCCAAAAAATTCATAGTTTTTACAAATACAACAAAATAATAAAGAATTATATATGTTTAGCTAGGCAAAAAAATAGAAATACGCCACGATGTGTTGAGGAGCGGTTTCAATCCTCCCATCAACCAAAAATATAAGCAAAGCGAAAGCAATAAGCAAAGCGGGCTAAAAGCAATTAATGAAGCAAAATAGCAACGGAATTAAGGAAAACAAGTAAAAAGCATGGAACTCAAGTAACATGGCCCAACAAATTAACAGACACAATTACGGTCGCATATTAGTCAATAAAGTGTAATTTACTCAGGGTTATTGAAAAACTGCACACTTCAATATCGTGCATACTTGGGTAGTCAATTGTAAAAAAATTATCAAAAAATTGCCAATTAAAGTAAACGAAAAATTAACACAAAATGAAGCTGCACTCTGTCTAGACACTCGCTTGGAAGCAACCTAAAAATTAAACAATATACACATTTGGCTTCAATTCTTGATCTCATTGAAAATTTTGAATAACATTGTATTTGAATGCTTAGAAAACAGCAAATTGAGATCAAAACTTGTAGCTTCAATCGCACATATCACAGTTATGTTAGAATTGGTGTAGGGTTAGTGTAGTTCAGCGTGGCTCCTCCCAGTTTTTGGATAACCCTGCAAATTTATTGCCGCGGCTGTGCTACACCTCAACAAGAGATTGCAGTTTAACTCATTATAAAAACGAGTATAACAACTGCCTTAAGAGCAACATCATATCTGAGCCAGCTCGTGACCTGCTGGCTGGCAGGCTACATTTCTATGCAGAATCTAACTAAGAACTTGATTGGACGCAGGTTTTGCTGCAATTTTGTTATAAATACTTTTCCCGGCCGTCAGCGTTAAATTTTGAGGTTGACTCAGATATGATGGTATTTGAAGGTGGCGGTATTCGACTAAGCTGCGGTGATGTTAGTTAACTTTTAGACAAATTGCATTCACCACTAGTTTCCTCTCATACTCAATTATTCTCAGAAATTATTTCATCAAAATGCACTTTCATCCGACATATGACGAGCGGAAGCACGCTTCAAACTCATGTCCGCAGAATGGTTTCATTAGTTAACTCCACATTACAGCCACGAGTTTTTGTTACGTACTGATACCCACAGCAGCTAGACTAATTAGTAACATAGAATAAGATGCGCACGTTGCGTATGCAGTAAGTTTGATTAGTTCACAATTGCTAGTCGATACACCGCCACAATCAAAAACCGTTTTCTTCTCAGATAATCAATTTCAGCGATTTGCAAAGATTTTTTAGTTAAGCAATAAACTGTTAGTTGACCATCGAAGAAAACATAACATAAAATAGATTTAATAAGCAACTACTAGTTTGGGAGCTTGACAACAAAAGGTAACAAACGGTAATTAGTGCGTTAAGCGAAAATGATAAGAGAACTGAAGCAATGTTAATGGGGATTTAGTTAGCAGTTTTGTTTTAATTGTTCAGCATAGACTACTAAAATGACAAAGTTGCGCAAAGTAGAGAAAACTAAAAATGTATTTTTGTCTCATTCAAAAAGCGAATTTAATTTTATGAAATTAAGTGCTTAGGGTACTTCGCATTACTCGAGACTTTACCTCTCTCAGGAAAGAGCGAATCAGTTCTTTTCATAAACTCTTTTGGTGACATACAGAGTTTTATTTTTACCATATTTTTAAAATAGCCTCAACTAATGAGGATGCCTCAAAGAAAGTTAAAAATTAAACGTCTGATTGATTTTTATTGGAAGACGCTATTTATGACATTAATTGTTATGGATAAAACTGATCGAAGTTTCAATAAAGCTTAATATGGAAAACGTAAACCTTTTTTTCTGGGATAATGTGGGAAAATATGACACTGCAAGACAAAATTTTAAAAATTGTAGGACCGCTTCAGTAAATATTCACTTTGCTAATGTATGACGTAACTACGTTTACTAATTAATACAAATTTAAAAACAGTAATAATTCTAATCACAGAATAATTAAGTAAATCTACGAAAAGACGAATCAATTAATTATTCTAAACATTTCTCTTCCTTATCCATGCATAAAAGATTTGCTTTCCTTTTGAAGACTATAATTTTGATGTTTAGGGCGGCCAGCTTACCGGCTTTTCGTTTCAAAACCAATCGCAATTATCTGTCTGTTTTATTTTATAATTTTTTTTGGAAAATTATTTTATTTACGATGAAAAACGTATAGAGTGTACCATTTAAAATAAGAGAAAACATTTTAAACAAACTTTGAAAATTTATATTGAAGTTAAAAATTGCATTAAGCAGTAAGCGTACCTTTGAAAAACCGTGAATAATTACTATAGCGGCCCGACAGGTTTTTTTAAGTTTGCACTACAGTTTCACTTTTTTTATTATATCATATTTAAAGTTTTTTAGGTTGAATTTACTAATGGAATTATAAATAGGTATACCTTTTTAGGAAACATCCTGTATAGTTGAAACTCATTTTGAAACGCGATCCAATTAAAGCTTTTTCGACAAATAAAGCCTTTAAAAATCCTTCTAAAGCGCCACCCTTTAGAAACTTTAAAAGGCAGAGTATTAGATACTCTTAGGGGATTAAACCATCAGACGGTTACTCATATAAATCCCTTAGTTAATCAAAAATGACTGAGTAACTAAACAATTTAAAATTTCGATTTACATTTAGTAGAATTACGTCAAAGCCTCAAACTAGACAGCGGGGTTAATTGCAAATACGAATTTTCGAGCGTAACAAAGTAAGAAATGAATAAAGTAGATTTTAAGCAGAAGTTTTGTCAAGTAACACACCAATCCACTTAAGTAATTCCATGCAACTTAGAGTCCTTTGCAAATCGCTTACTGATTGGTCGTGGGTAATATAAAAAAAAACGAGTGCCTCATCAAAACCATAAAGCACATTGATGGTGAGAGCTCATGTGAAGAATTTCCAATATTTTCCATTGCGGAAAACATGCAGGAAATCCAATTGGCATGAGCTTGCAAAGGCAAAAAAGGCAAGCGATCATTTGAAAATATGGATTTAAACATTTTTTGATGGGGCATGATCGTTTTGACTATAGCCTAACCAAAGTAAATTGGACCAAACTGGGCACCCACCGGCTGAGCGGGCGGTCGGCCTTGGGTGCCGCGACCACGCCCTTGCGACGCAGCAGTCGCTGATGTTGTTGACGCGGGCTGCTGGTAATCGTAATATGAATAATCTTCGTATCGGTAATAGTCATCGTAATAAGGATCGCTGTATCCGCCTCGGTAATCCGCATAACCGTAATAGTCATAATCGTAATCTACAAAAGAGATAAGTTGCTACTGGCCAGTATTACATCATAGAAACGAACGATACCTCAAACAATGGTAACACTAATTTTATTGCAATCAAATCAGTAGGGTTAGTAAAAGTTAATGATGTAATACCATAAGTAGCTATAACGCCCACTTAGCCAACTGAACAATTTCAATCAAAATTTTGGGAAAATCATGTCTTTCGTCGGGCCTAATCTGCCAATCTAATTAAAATCTTCTCAAGTAATACTGTGAGCATGCCGGGAAAAGTCATTCGAAACCTTGTCTTGATAACGACACATGTAAATCTACTAATTAATCTAGAGCTGATGTGATTTTACTCTACAAAACCATCTAAATTCTAAATACCAAATTGACCAGGTTTTATTTTGTGGACGCGTTTATCTGCCTGCTGAATTAGCCTTAGGAGTAACAACTCCAAATTCCAAAATAAAGCAGGAAACAAAAAAGGAAAAGATAAAACAAATTGTAGTAAAATGTTACTCTTAAGTTGTCAAATCATTTGTTGATAAACGGTCCTTCCCTGCACCACAGCTTTGTACGTAGGGGAACGTGGATGGGAGCAAGAAGGTATAACAGTGACTTACCTGTGCAAATCCAATACAGCAAGCTCATCAATATTAAAATCGAGACGACGAGATAATGTTAAATCTATCACATAATGTACAGGATGTATTGGAAAAGGATATTAAATACATTAAGACGCATGCAATGTTAAAACAGTCGATGGCCGCGTGCAGTATGCTCAATACTTTGCCCTTTTGCCTCTTGCGGTGCCCCGGCTGGAATCTGATTAATTTCATGTGAATTCAAACACAATTATATCGTGCTGGTTTCTTGTCAAAAAGCCAAGCTTCGTGCATTCCATCCAGGAGATTCAGTAAATGTATCTTCAAATTCGCCACTAGATCCCAACGAAATTATTTGTGGGTCGATTTTAGATCACACACACGTGTTCCGTACATAACCCAATGTCCCACGTATCTTGGCTCCCTTTACTCTGAGAACATTTGTGCAAATTTTGCCCCTAATGCAGTAACAGTTTTTGCAAGCATTCGACCCTTTGTCGATGCCTTTTATCAAAAGGCTTCAAAGACCAGGGTTGTTTCCCACAGACACAAAACAGGTTCTTTATTCTTCGATTTTTTGATTCACGGTAATTTGTTATCTGCTCCTAACCCGTTCTCTTTCCAATGACATCTTTTTTACAAAAGACACACGGCGACAGCGATATCTAATTGAGAATATAACTGAAAACATTTCACTGCATTCAACTCATAAGAACTTGAATCAAGCCCGACAATGAATGCCTTTCAATTCCAAATGAATACAGTTTTGAGTCAAAATTATTAAGTCGCAAAACTTTATTTTAAATATTGCAAATTAGTTTCTTTAGAATTTACAATGATAAAGGAAAAGATGACAGCTACTCAAACGGTTTTCATATGTGAAAAATGGTCATAGTAGACCATTTTTCACAAAATGGTCTACTATGACAATTTTGCACAGATTCTTTGTTTTCAAACATTTTTATGAATTTAGAATTTAAAGATACATTTAATACTCTCACTGGACGAAATGTAACGATTAAAGGCATGTTAATTAGTCGCAAGATTCATCCTAAACGATTAAAATGGACCCCAGGAGCAGGGTGAGCCATTGAATTGAGAGCGCAGTTTCGATTTATAAAAAATTTGAAGTTAAATAAATATTCTGATAATCTGTTTAAAAAATACAGAAGTTACGGGCCAAAAAACTGATAAATTGCTTCAAAATTCATTTTTGGGGATTTTTGACGGAAAAATCTGAACGGGGAGAGCGCTAAATGTAACTTGAATAATTTAAGATACCTTAATCGCACCCTCTTAGTGCTTAACTAAACATCGCAACTTGTTTATGTCATTCAAAAAATGCAAATATTAATTAGAAGTAGAAGGTTTGAACCCATAGAATTTTACTGTTACCATAATCTTCGACTGTTCTGTATAGAAGAAAGTAGTAGAGCACGTCCTGTGTCGTCTACACATAATCGAACCTAATATACAGGGCGTCCCCAGTATAAAACAGAACGCAAATACTTGGATGTGGCTTCTTATTGCACCTTCAAAATGTCATACAGCAAAAATAAATAGTTTAATTATTTTACTTATAAATAATTTACTTATATTCTGTGGCACACTTGATATACAGGGTGATTCCAAATTAGCTGCATTGCTCTGGATAGATCATAAAAGACTATTGAGAAAGAACTAAATGTTAACTTAGGCAACAACATTCTTTAGTGCATGAATTAGGGAAATATTGCTGCACGTCACGCTTTTCAGTTCAAATTTAAATGCTAAATACAAACTGCAACTTTGCCAAGTGAATGTTGATACGTATTTTTCTCAAAAAATATTTAACTGATTTTCGCTCTTATTTTTTATGAAAAATGTACAAAAACATACTTTTTGAATTACATTTTTCGAACGTTCCAAGTTCGCAGTTTTTCTATTGGAATGTTTACATATAGTCTGCCAATTTAACATAATGATATTTTAAAATAACGCTCAATGATAAAGCGGGTATTGGACTTTCACTTGTTAATATCTTGGCACTGAAACCACATTTGAGTCACCCTGTATATGTATACATGATAAACCACAGATTCCTTCTTTTGTTAAAAAATGTTAAACAGGAGCAAAAACTGCCTGTGATATTTCCAAATATGATTTTTACGTACAAATTTCGTTCAGATATGACTGCAAGGTAATTAAGTTTAAATGGCTCTTACGTATACTTTGGACACCCTGTACGCATTAAAACGAGTGTTAAAATTGTTAAATAAATTAAGCTCACCCTGCAAAAGCGATAAACTATTATTGTGATAAGTTCCATTTATTTTGCACAAGAGAAGTAAACGTTAGACACAAATGAAAACAGGAATAATCGTCCATAGTCTGCTTGATGTTTCTGTTGTTTAGAAAAAATTATACAAAAATTATTCAACTTTCGTTTCCAACTCGAAAAATTAATTGTTTTGTAATCATGTAAGGCAATCGTAAAGTAAACTAATAACTAACTACCTGAAATAATACCCAAATTTTTTAAATTTATTAAAAAGTTATCACTCTAGTGAAATATCTGGTTATTCACTCATAAATTGATAATATTTTGATACTAACAACCGAAATATTGATAAACATCAAACAGACTAAACACAACAAATCGCTCGATCGGTTAAGGGGCGCGCTATCATTATTAAAAGTATCATCAATGTGTGATTGCCTGTCGAGGATCCAGGATTGTACTTACCGTAATCACCGCGACCCATGGGGCCTCTCATTCCAGGCCCTGTACGGGGTCCACCAGACCCGGGGGGTCCACGAAGAGGCATAGCCCCCGGCATCATCCTGAAAAAGAAGTAAATCAAATGTTAGACACCAACCTAAGAAGAAACCAACCTAAATTACGGAATGCCTTTACAATCAAGTTGATAGGAATATCTCGTGTTTAATACTCATAATTCGAATTATTTAATATAATTAAATTCAGCCACTGTTAACAATGTTTTACGTTGTGTGCCACAACTTTTTTTCAACATCAATTTTATTAGAAACTTTTAAACAAATTTGCTTCACATCAACATATAATCGGTTAATTTCATACGAATACCCATAGGAATTTCAGTCTACGTTTAAGTGAAATCTGCCTATCGAGGAGTTCGCGAAGATGCAAAAACATCTTTTTTTTTTTCAGTCAATTGAAAGTTTTTCGTGTGCAATTGGTATCTGTTTTTAAATCGTGATGTATAACTAAATCTAGTTATTTAGCTGTTATTATGAATTCGATTCTTTCTATAGTCTAATAATTCGATTATTCCCCGCATTAGATGACAACTGACTTTAACGACATATTTAGTTTGTGTTAGTATAAAAAGTCCCAGAGTATAGGATCTAAATTGCCCATTAACACCTCAAAACATGAAATATTGTACTTGAACTTGAAAACAACAGAATTTGTAATTAGACAAACTGATCTAAAACTGTTAAATAATGGTTTTACTGCTGAAATCTAACGGAAACCTTCCTACAGACTATTCAGAAACACCCTGTATATCTACTTTTTAACTTCAATTCTTATTTGACTACAATCTACAACATGTAAGAATGAATACGAACACATTAAAACATCCCGTACGACAATAATACACAAACATACTTACCGATCCTGCACACTGCAAACAAAGCAAAAATATATTACTTACTAAAATATAGTACAGAGAAAAGTAAGTGAAATTGCAAATCAAATTTAGTTTAGTTTAAATTCTGCTTATTCATTGTAAAAACAGATTGGCTCGAAAAATGTTCAAGGTAATTTAAAATTCAAGTGTTACTTACCCTCCTCTAACTTGCATCATTTGCATCATGCGCCTTTCGCGAGCCCTCAATATTTCTTCCTTTTTCTTTTTATCGGACGGAGGTTTAGCTAATGACACTTCTATATTTGAACCTCCCATTTCTCTTCCGTCTAATTCGTCCATTGCCTGTAACAATTACAATAAATAGAACAATTGCTGTAGTGGTACAAATACTGAAAAGCAACAACATTTTACGAGTCTTGTAATGTGGAGAAATTACAATTTGTTGTACGGAACCAAAACAGAATTTTGAGCCCAATATCTTTATTGTACAAAATGATTAAAATTATCTTACGAACACTTACCTTAATTGCGTTATCCCTGTCCTCAAAATGAATGAAAGCATAGTCCTTAATTTTCTTTACTCTTTCGACTTTGCCAAATGCTTCGAATGAATCTTTCAGCTTTTCCTCGGTGATGTCTTGAGTTAAATTCCTTACGTAGAGCACTTTCACCTTCGACATTGTCTGTTCATCTGGTTCCTCCTGTGGATCAGCCCAGTCCACAATGATGTCGCATCCCCAAACCTAGGAAACACGAAAACGATACGATTAAACATTAACATAACACTTGATGCCCTAGGAATCAAATTGGCAATGTGAACTGTTGTTGATTGTAAAATAATATACCTTTATTCTGCCAGTTCCAAGTCGTCGTTTGGCCAGTGACGCGGCCTTATGTGATTCGTATTCTAGGAAGCAAAACCCTCGGTTTTTCTTTTTATCGTCAGGAGAACTGTAGATTATCACTTCAATGAGACCAGCTGTGTAAATGTGAGTCAATTAGTGGGATGTAAATTAGCGATATACTTAAAAAAGCATCATCTTTCAAATATCGGAAATCAAATTTGGAATTTGGAAAATAGGAAAAGGCTCGAAAATCCGGAAGGCTACTTCAAGTTCACGGTTATTGGGTAGTTACACCAGCTAAGCGAATTCAAAGTAGCCCCCTTCACTTTATAGCTTTTCCTAAATAGGCAGCCCTGCCCTACCCAATGCTCACAGGCTTGTGACTAACACATTCCAGAAAATATGGACAAACATGTGTTGCAGTCGGACTTGCAAGGCATCATACCAACAAAAGACAACTACTGGCATTAGTAAGGTTCTTGTGTGAAATGAATATGAATTGTCTATAATCCGTATAGATTAGCTTTCTTCTGCTTTAACATGTGGCGATCAAAGAATAAGTCGATCTATAGACCACAGTTTTGTTTGCAACGTTGGCATTTATAATCTTCTTGCATCAAATCTTGTCAGTATAATGTTAATGTTTGCTTCTTCTTGAAAACATGTAAAGTTCAGCCTAATCTCACAAGGCCATCAATGACTAGCCAATTAGTTGTTGGGGTTATGCAGGCTCAACTTACGTGCATGCTTTGAAAATTCTTCCAAGAGATCCTCGCGATCCCGGTTTTTTGGTATATAGCCCACAAACAACCGATGATTGTTATAGGATATGGTCACGCCAATCTTTTTCCCTTTCCGTATCTCATAATCATTCAGCTGCAAGAACAGTGGAAGGGTAGCCATATTTGTGCCTTGGGCAATGGGGCTGGGGGCTTAGAAATAGGACTGACTGGATCGGAATGGGGGTAGAGCATTGGAGACAAGAGAGACAGAAATACAGAGCCCGGCAAACGTACGCCGATTTTATTTTGTTAAACGATGATTTTTGAACTGGAGCCAGACCAGTAACGGTGTTTTATGATAAAAATAATTATAAAATATACTTTATTTATCCGAAGCAAGCAATTAAATAAACGCCATAAGTTTATTATAGAACATATAACACCGTAACATCGGCTCCATTGCAATTTAGAAGTTAATTTAGTTTCGTTTCATTAAAATAAGCGTTCAAAGCAACGTTACCTGTCAATTTACCAAACTCCTCCAGAATCTCCTCTTTGCCTTTAGATTTTGGTATGTTGCCGACGAAAAGCCTTAGATTGGGTACGCTTATGTTAATTTTCAAGGTCTTGCCGGGTTTGATTTCGTAATTGTCCAACTGCGCCAAAAAGAAAAAACACAAATGCCAGAATGGTTCAATTTTGCATGGTCGAATAATAAAAATTTTGGCTGCTCATTTCAAAACTAAACCATAATTTAGTTCCAAAACGAAAAATTTATGTCTGCTCAAATGTTAAGCTGACGAGTATACCAATGAAGCTACCATCTAGTGTAGTTAATTTATTGGCTATACAATACAACATGGCAAAAACGCTTTACTACTACTAACAAATGCTGCACTCAAACTACAAAATGTGTTCTTGCCATGAAACAATTCGATGTGAGCAGATTAAATCAGTTTTAAAAATACGAATAGCACAACTGGAAATAATCCTACAAATGGTGCACAACCTATGTTTTGAATCAACCCCACTAGGCCAAAACCCCTAAAACATATTTAAATTTTGACCATCCAACTCAAAAGCTACAACTTGAAACAAGAAATATTTTTAAAACAAGCTACACAAGACAAAAACATATAAAGCGATACTTTCAAGAAAATTTTATAGAGAATGTTATATCTACAATTTCATATTCCAATCATGGTGCAAATTCGTCACCTTAGTCAAAAAACACCCAACGTACAAATCACAACTAGTAGAACTGGTACCACTGATTGGTCTCAATTTTGCCCCTTTCGCAAAGAGGAGACCTGTTAAGGGAAAACTCGATTCCAAAATCAACACTAGAAAGAACAGTACGTAAATCACCAATTTGAATACTGATATCTGAACAATAATAATTCACACTCAATAATCAACGAAATTTGTATCCAAAATAGTTGAAAGAAAATGCGTAAATGTTAAATTATCTACAAATTTAGAAGGCAATTTGGAGTAAGGCTCTCTTTGATGTATAAAATATACAGTGTGGAGGATAAAAGCTACAGGAACATTGTGAGAGCTCCGTTGTCAGAGCCGCTGCAACAAAAGTCATATACTGAAATTGCAGGCTATGACGACAGCTGTCAAGACACATCTATAATAGAATTGCCAATTAGGTACATAGGAATTATAAATACTTTTCTCCCGGCATATTGGCTGCTCTAAACAACGTTGATGAAAATATTAAAAAGCACCAATTATAGAAAAGTATTTACAGCTTGGAAATATGATCCATTCTGAACGGTAATCATATTCCAAAATGGAAACAATTTCAGATAAAGCAATCACAGCTGTTAATGCTAATTAATAACAATATTAATGTTCAGCGAAAACAAGGAAGTTCGGTTGCTTATCGGTTTTGTTGGTAGAGTTAATAGAATATAGCTAAACACAACACTGCCACCAGAAGGGTATAATCCGACATAACACATAAAATTCTAAACTGCGTTTCCAATAATTAATAATAATTAAAATAAATACCTAAATACTGGGTGATTAAAAATTGACGTCTTTCCTCTGAAGGTGTTATCTGGGAATAATTATGGTATATAGAAAAAAATGTAAATATGTAAATAGTTCTCATAAAAGTGATAATTTTGGCAACATACTTACCTTACCTGTTGCTCTAGGCGTAAATCAGCAAAGTAAGAAGTGAAAGATAAAAATAACATCATTTCAATGAGTAAACGATAAAGTTAAGAAGAATTAAATGTTCCAAAATTTGGTTTTTAAAGTGACTTCCCAAAGAAATGATATAGATAAATTATATGCCTGCATATGCATCAAAGCGTATTCTCGTTATATCCTCAACTTTACTTCATAACCCTACTTCACATCAGTTTTCATTTTTTACAAGAATGCTTAGACGTCAAATCACAACTTGGTGCTTGATGTTAAAGAATCATTTTCTAATGAAAAACGTTTATAGAACTCTAGAGATATAATCGTCTATAAATTATTACTTGATATGGAATTATGAGAGAAACATTAATATGGTTTTCCATGCTTGGTGCTATTGCTTGTGGTCTATCGAACTTAAGACGGCTAAATTGTTGCTTCTGCCTTCAGAATGACTTCCCTCATCAATCACGGCCAAATTTCGTTTTTTCTCGTTACTTTCGCTTTCTCAGAGTAATCGATTTGCTTGTTTGTTGAATCCACAAACTAGTTAGGGCGTCTATCATGTGAAATAATTGACCATTTTAGAGGATCCACAAGGAAGAAATCTTAATGCATCTTCGACATTGTTATACATTATAAGTTTCCAAAAGCAAAATTTTAATTCTAATTACAAATACGCTGTAAAGCTCATTGTATGCATGGTCACCATTGGACATTTGCAAAAAATGTATGAAATTACAAATTTTCCAAATACAAGTTTAGCCTACGTGTAAGCAAGTTGGGCAATGTTTAATTTATAATACGTAGCTATACTAATAGTTCACCAAATAACCACTCAACTACTTTAAAAGATCGCCTAACCACAGAGCTAAAGTACATCTTGAACCGCTAACATGTTGTAAAAATAGACGCAATTTTTTACGTTTCTCCACATTGTCCCGGCAAACCTTAAAAGGAATTGCGACAATTTTGCATCACCCTGTATGGAAAGTATTTATTTTCGAATCAAAAATAATAACATTTTCTCAGCAATTCCTTCCATGAAAAAATGCACAAGAATTATTTCACAAAGTCGGAACATAAAAAATAAAATAACTAAAACGAACGGAAATTCGAAACATGCCAAGACGACGGCTAAAAAGTAAATCGAACTATTCCTACAATGGAAATATTTGCAAAATAAATGTAGAAAGTTGCGCGACCTGATGGCCAAGATAATAAAGATTTTAAATAATCTCAACACTTAGCTTGAAAACAATAATTTTGCATACGGTGGCATCAAGCTTCTAGGTGGAGGTTGAACGCGATGAAGACAAATTTAGAAATAAAATAAAAAAGAAGACTAATTACAATATTGTAAGAAAATACAATAGAAAATAAGGTTTTCACGTCGCCAAATTTCATTACTAACTTCTGACGGCCTGCATTTGCTAACTAATGTAGACACGTTCCTTAATAGGCAGGAATCTAACACACATCCCGAAACAAATACATTAAAAGATGATGTACCGATTAAGAAAAAAACCACAACGAACAAACATATTTAGAATTGCGTGAACCTGCAAATGTTGTGGCTGGTCTTGAAAACCGGAGGACACATCAGATATTCTAAATATCCTTGTTCAATGTCTTTTAGGTTGCAGCACGCCCGATTGCAAGAAATCTACATATTAACCTCTATCTATATTCCCAAACCTGTTACCAAACCGTAATATTAGACAAATTCCACTCTTACCTTCTGTACCGCAACATGGGCGGCGTCGCGAGTAGTAAATGTTACAAAAGCATATCCTCGATTGGTTCCAGTCATGGGGTCCATCATCAGTCGGAGATCCCATATCGTGCCACATTGTTCAAATAAAGGAATCAACTCGTCTTCGTATAAGTCCTTGGGAATTTTGCCACAGAATACTTCACAGCCGGATCCAGGTGTGTTTCCATCCCATCCAGGCGGTGGACCTCCATATTTTCTTTGTCCTAAATTAGAATGGGATTTACCATGTGCGTTTGGTGTGCCAGCAGAAAATATCCTACCCGTTGTAACATCTAAGGTATATCCAGTCCTATCTAGAATTTGTTTGATTTTGTCCTCATCTGGACCCTTTGCGGGAACAGGAGCGGCTGCTGTAGATCCTTGACTTGAGCCTGCTCTGCTCTTTTGCCTGAAACGATTTGCATGTGATTCATACGTGCAACTTATAATATAGAGTTTAAGCCTTTACCTATATGTCTTCATAACACCACATAAATAGGCCGATTTGTTGGAGACGTGCTCGAGATTGGAATCGAGAAACTGACCCAACACGTTAAGCGCGCCATCAACAGGGAATTCCTTTAAAGCATCAAGGGCGCGCTCATCCAGGTCTACATGGGCTAACTTGCCGGTCTTGTAGATTTCGTCGAGCTTCGAAGCCACCTGGAAAAACACGTTTTTAATCCTCGATGCCCATACATCTTCGGCTTTAGCTATCACTAACCTTTTCATCAAGGCCATATTCTATTAATTTTTGATAGTCTGCTGTCTTTTCTGATTCCTCAATCTTGATGATCTTGATCATTGATTCGTCTGGAACTTCACCATTACCTTCTGCCATAGCTGAAAAAAAACCACAATTAATGTAAAAAAAGAAATAAACGATGTTTTCAAGTGTTTTGGCGTAATTAACGTTACAAAAAAACAAAAACGTTATATTAATTAATTTCAATATTTTCGTACGCTAGACAATTTTAGTTCAATAAGGTGTTTATTGAACCATTGAAATTAACACCTCAAAATTAATATGGACAACGTGGCTCCTTGTATCTGACAAAAGAGTTTTGGCAGTATGTATGAGTTATCTTGGTATTGACAACCTACGGAGCTAAAGTAACAGACAGGTTTCTTTATAAAAATCCACATTTTTTTGACTAACGATAAACTGAGAAGAGTAGTTTGAAATTCTGAAAGACATTTTCTAGCAAAAGTACCTAGCTGTTTTTTAGACAACTGAAAGTAAAAATCTCATACATAAAATGACCTAAGTTCCAGGGTTTTTTTCAGATATTCCGATCCGATTTTCATAAAATCACGCGACAAACTGAATAATGATGCTTTGCCTTAAGCCTAAAAAATACTGCATGGGTAGTATTTGTTTTCAACATTAAATAGATTTGCATTGTTCTCAAAGACATTCTCTTGTTTTCCTACTTTAACTCAGAACATGAAAGCAAAACAACGTCGAGTATTTACATTATATGAAGTAATTAATCGTTAATTCGAACAGCTATGAGAATTCCCGGTTTGTGAGTCAATGGCACGCCGAAAAGTATTTCAAATATTTAGCACAGAGGTAGACATCGGAAAATACGGACACAAAAACCGTCTAGAGGCCGGCATAATTCCAAGGTCTTGGTCAATGACTTTGATAATGTGTTCAGATTCGCTGTTATCAACCAAAATTCAAACACAATTCCTACAGCAGTTTAAAAACAATGCGCAAAAGCCAATAATCTACTCGCTGTAGCCGTTGGTTAGTTACATTAACTAATTTTAGCATAATCTTTGAACGCATATATTTAGATACTTAATTTTAATGAGTATCTCTTGAGTTATTTGATACAAATATTATCTGAAGACGATTTAATTTAAAGAGACAGATCTGTACTGTTGAGTGCAGTAATTCTCATTTTTTTTGTCGCGCCACAAATAACGATTTCAACATTTGAGGGCACACAGAAAAATGTTTGTTTAAAAATTGTTTACTTCCCTGTAATATCTACACTGTATAGGTACAATAGTTTATGATGAACTTTTGAATGTAAAATAAAATATTATGTACTTTAAAAACAAGGTATCTAATGGCAAACTAAATCCAGTGATTGGTTTCTGCAGTTAATTCCAATTTGCCGTAAAGTTTTTTCTAAACTCAATGACTTATTAGAGCAAGCAAGAAATAATAAAAATGAGAAATACTCATGACAAAGCTGTTCTTGTGAAATGTAAATAGCTAATAATAAATCAGCGACTACTGCTGGTATCAAAATACAATTTGCAATGCAACTGGTAAATAACACCATAATTTCCTGCCAATTTCAGCAAGTTTACTGCACTATTTAAACATGAATGTGATTATTTCATTAACATTAACAAGACATTGTCTAGATAGCAACGCATGCAGAAGCTGTAGCAAATCAATACTTGTAATTCTGCCATAGTAGCCGTATAAACCGGGACCCCTCCCAGAGCCCTTTCCTCTTTGAGCCATGTGTTTAAATTTAAAATCGTACTAGAGTTCAGCTTCTTCACATGCAAATTAGTGCACCGCTGCCTGCATCACTCTGGTGAAATTTGCATTTCACAATGTGAATATATTTAGAACAGGTATAAATAGGGGAATGGAATTCAAGGTTACTGGAAGAAAAAATCTTGACCACATGTGTATTTTTGCTTTTACGTTAGACATTAACAGCGCAATTCAAGTTTTTGCAACAGGAGATATAAAGAACGTCTACTTCAAGGCTTTCTTTTGCAATCGATTCTTAATCTATCAGCTCAGGGCCGAAGCATTTACTTCTACAACCTGTAAAAGACGGTTTAATTTAATAAACAGAAAACGCGTTTTCAATTATTTTGCCGACCATAAAAGAACAATAATGCACATACGTTTAAATGCTTTAAATTCCTACTGACAACAGCATATACCTACAAAATATTTCAAAGTTTCATTTAATTTCATGTGTTTCAAGAATGTCGTTATTAATTATAAGAAAATCATCAAACATATTTTCCAGATAATTGAAGAAAAATATGTTTTCCGAGAGGAATAAAATCATAATTTATTTAAATTTTAGAATTACTTTTAAGTCGCAAAATTACAAATTGCCACCAGTGCCAAATCAAAAATAATACGAAGCTTCGTTTAAATACAGTAAATAACATGAATAAGTAATAACAAGTCGACTTAAAATTTGCATTTAAATTGTTGCATATCGATTTTATTCCAGATTGTATTATATTCAAAGGAAGACAAACTAGACAACAAAAACTAAAAAATGCTAGCTTTATCATTCAATTCTCACCTCTCTTTGTTCTCAATGCAGTTCAATTAATGTGTACCTAGACCTTTCTCCATTGTGCCAAAATAAGCAGTAAATAATGGTTAAAAAACTACTATCCACTTTGAAATAAAAAATTAAAAGCTTGAACAAACAGGAAATTGTCTTTAAATGAAAAATCAATATAAAACCTGAAAATTGAGAAGAAGGCAGACAAGCATACAAGGTAATGAAATAAAAACTATCAAGAATGAAAGAAAATAGTCAGCAAGCGTTATATAAATTTGGACCATCTGAAACATCCAGTTTCATATATTCTCTTCTCAAAACTATATTATCGACTTAAAAGTCCGGTCACTGCATAGGGGGTAAACCTGACTTACTGAGAGTCCCAAAACGAGTTTTTGTGCAATTGCTTCTATAGCAGCGAGTTTCGATATTGTTGAAATGGTACGCTCAGGCCCATTCAAAAAGGGAGTCTAAAATGCGAATGTGAAAATACAGGACTCAAAATCAGAATATTTCTAAAATACCAAAGTGATATTTTCAATAGTGGCAATGGCTATATCCTTGAAATTTTGAAGAAACATTACAAAAATCCTTTATATCTTTACCTATAGTACATAGTACTTAATTAGGGAAAAATTTTGCTACGATGGTAAAGAACATTGAAGCAAGATGATAATAAATTAAATATGGATTTAACGTTTGACGCTGTAAAATATGTAGTTTTAGCAGAAAAGTTTCTGAGTTCTCGGATTCCCTACGAGCAAGTTTTCTACGTACGTAAGTTTAATAATCTTGTGAGACTGAACATGTATACCTTTTGTGGTTAACAAATTGGAAAATAAATACTCGTTAAGGGACGACACAGCGATTGAGACGATGATTGTTCAGAAACTGAAAGGCTCGCAATAAAGAAATTACACCTGTCTTTGTTAACATGCCCCGACCATCATTATATGGCGAAAATGCACTAAATTGATGAGCCCCGATGATGGCTTAAATAAAGCCGAAACGTTCGCCCAAGAAAAATAATAATTTTTTTCTACCACTATCTCCGACCGATCAAGACGAAAGCAGAAAGCAACACCTATCAGAATAAAGACACTAACACAATAAACACAATAAAGAAACTCACATGGAAATAAAAAATTGGCGAATTTCGAATAATCCTGGATAATGAAAAAACTGGTTTGTACGACAAACTGAAAATTATTTTGCCGTTCAAAGTGGGTCAAACAGACCCAATTAATTACAATTGATCAAAAATACTTTTTAGTTATGAAAATTGAAATGTTTTGTAGAGCAACATATTTTCCTTAAGTAAAAACGATTTATAAATAAATAAGCAGCTCAACAAAATGAACGTTACACAACCAAATGTGCCCAACTTTAGAACTGGATAAATTCTGATCGTTTCCCGCAAATTTTGTTTCTATTTGAAGCGTTATTGAGGATTTGCTTCCCTCATTCGTTTGATGTTAGTTAATGTTTTGGCAAACATTAAGCACCCACAAAACTTCTGCAGCGTGGCAAATAAAAAAATGCAAAATTTTGGAAAGTTTGGCATGCTCCTAATTGGGCAGAAAAAAAGGGTTTTGGATCTCAACAAGCGATGGGAACTATCGAAATATTCGATAGCAATGTTTTATTCAGTGATGAAAACTATCGAATAATTCGATAGTTGCAATTCATTTGAATTATTCGAAAACGATGTTTTCAGCTATGAGAGCCATCGAATTATTCGATAGTTTTTAAATAGTTATTAAGTTAATTTGAAATGTAATTCACTTTAGTTGTTCGATAGCAGTGTTTTACTCAATTGTTTTATAAGCATTATCGGATAATCCGATAGCTATAATTTGCAGTGATGAGAACTATCAAATTATTTGATAGTTGTAATTTAAAATGTAATTCATTTGAATTATACGATAGCCGTGTTTTATTCATGTATTTTGTAATTATAGGATAATCTGATTAAGCTATTGCACTGAACGAATTTAAATTTTAAATAATTTAATTTTTCACTTTTTAAGCAAATACATATATTTAAAATTGATTTAGTAAAATTGGTTTTTTACTCAAAAATTCAACAGATTTTTTGCAAAAAGTTTATTCATTTATTTAATTGTATTCATTTTTATCATTAACTATGTTTTTGACAAAAGGGACTTTCACTACTTTCAAAGAAAACGGCTAATATCGTATCCAAGGTTTTCAAAACCCTTCTTGGAATATGAGAAACGCATGCCCCGGAAATTCCGTTTTCTTTCGTCTTGGGAGACCGCGGGTGGTGTGTATTAAACATCCTGACAATGGATTGCATAATTTCACGCTAATGAGATTTATACGTATAAATCATATGTTGCTAGAGAATAGACCGAACCTGACTCGAAATATGACCTTGCGTGGAGGGTGACCATACGTCTTACAGAAAATCCTAAAAAAGCTAATGAATTTACCAAACAAACAAGACCAAGGAGAAGAACCCATAAATTATAAATTAACCTGCCTAAAATAAATCAACCTATTCAGACTCGACCAGAAACAGATAAATTATGTCCAACAGTTCTACGGACTATACGATTTGCAGGGAATTGGATTTCGATCAGTAAAATTCTATTTATATATGTAATAAATACGTATAACATGTCATATTGGCATCGTAATAATAAACAGCTTAGGGTCAAACATACACGATGCATCTCGGATCTGAAAGATGCATTTTAAGACACTGCATTACTTTTTTATGAATAAGTATCTGTATTTCCAAAAGAATTTTTAGAAGAAGTTTGTAATTTTTAACAGACCTACACACTAGATAGCGTGCACTATTCAATCAATGAACTAATTCGAATGTTTTTATTCGATAGTTGCAATCATTAATTTAATAATTATTCAATAGTGCCAATCACTAATCTCAACATCAAAAGTTTAAATATAAACGAAATTTACGAAATAGCTTTTATTTACAAAGTGGTCTTAAAAAATCAACTTTTTGGATTTGCAGCGATAACAACCCGATGGTAACGATCTAAAGCTCATGTTGAAGCTAACCAACTCCATACAACTTAAGACCAAAGTTCAATATACGGAGTTGCATAGTTAATGACCCAAAGCAGAATTGCCGCTGATCTGTGACTGGCACATTTGCAACTAAAGACTAAAGTAAAGTTCAGATTGAAATATTTGGTTTATTTATGCAACTCGGTATTTTGATTAGTTTTCTCAAGTCGACTGCGAAGTGTTAACTGCAACATGAGCCTTAGATTTTGAAAATAGGTTCAAAAGTAAAGAGTTATCAATGCAATACCAAAATCTTGATTTTTTAGGACAACTCTGTAAATAAACGAGATGAGCAAAAAATTAAAAAACTTTTTTAAGATATGTGGTCGTCTAATGCCTGTGACGTTTAAATAAAAAAAACTATTTTTTGCCAACTGTGAGCATATGGAACTCTCACCAATTGTCCATTGTTTCATTTCCACCCTGTAGAAACTTGATCTAAACCACTAATAAAACACGCACTAACCGAAAAAAATTGAACCAAAAAGGATTCATAGAGAAATAAAAATCGCTCTCAGCAATCAGAGTTCCAAAATTAGCGGAAATTTGTCCGTGTTAAACATTTGGGATTTCAAGGTATTTTAATAAAAGCTCCGAAGAAACGCAATAAATAATAGGTTTTGGGTTTAGTGGTTCGGCAGTTGTTTTAAATAATTTCAAAATCACACTTAATCCGATCCTGTCGTCCCGTGTGTTGGTGAGATAAAAGACAGTCTGGCAATACCGCAACTTTGATGAATCCCGCAAATTTTGTTGAGAGGTTAGAGGGGCTGGAAATGTAATAATTTGTCTACACCTCCTGCATGCCTAGATGAATGACAACAATCTACTGATAGTATCCGAAGCTATTTCCTAATTCTGGTATGTAAACAATAGTTTGTTAAACTAATCCTACCCAAAATGCGCCATTTTCCAGCGAAAACAAAGAAGGTGTAAATGACAGTTTACATCAACATGCTACACCGGTCGAAGGTGTGGGATATGTGCGAAAAGAAAGCGAAAACTTGACAAAATTGATTTCGCATACTCACCAATGGGAGTCTATCACAGCCCGCACGGATTAAAACGAACACAACACTTAAAATTGATTACAAATTTGCTAAAATTTAAAATGGCGGCCGGCAATAATGGCGAACGTAAACGGCAGCGCGTCAGCTTCAGGTTGGTGAAGTTTGCGCGCAAACGACTAGCCTCGCGACAGGGTCAAACAGCATAAGCCGGTTTTGAACCGCGAATAAATTACAATATTGTGCATTGCAAATAGTTATTTATCAGTGCAATTCATACTTGCATAAGGAAAATGCCCAATGAACAAAGTAGAGTATTGGGCGATAAAAGATCAGCAAGTTCTGCACTTATTAAGGATGCAGGTATATTCGGTTGCATAGTATTGCATTTACCCAAGACCAGGATGCTTATGCAATTTTTTTCCTGCACGCCAGAGCATTTGCACTATGTATTTGAAATTAATTTTGCGACAATAACATGAATTCTAGCTAACGCAGGTTGATAAATATTCGTGTATATCTAAAGGGCACTTACTTTGTAAAAGTCCGTTGAAAACACTTAATACACATTAACAAACACAACAAACATTATTTAAATAACTAAAATGTATAACACTAACAACTAAATAGGTAGTAATTAACATTTAACTTGTAAAAAAACGAAAGTAAATCCTTAAGGCACTGTTAACTGAAAACTTCGTCCAAAAGCGGTGCACAGTTTTGGCTCCAAAACGAAAACAGAAAGTTCGGTGGACGAGCGTGAATATCGGAGAATTTTCGATAAACCAAAAAGGGTTAGCGAATTTCGGTTTTGAAATTTAAAGGGGGTGTTCTACCGGCTCCCGCGGCGTACACTCTAATGCAATAGATGCAGCACCCGTTGTTTTGCAGCTCGTCTGGGCAAGCGAACTTGCATTCAGGCAGGCCCCAGTCGGGACGCATGCTCGCGAAGGGGTCGCAAATAATTCGACCGTTTATGCCACCAACCAGCCGGAGTTTTTTGCAAATTACTACCAAGTCTCTAGGGCGACGAGGCGATTTAAAGTCAACTTACTGGAATACTTGCAAAATTCCCTATCAAACCATTGAATCTTTTTACTAGCGTAATTAGAAAAGCGCACATTTTGGTGCATTCAAGCTTTAATCCGCATTAAACACCATCATATCCGCGGCCTACGTTAGTTGCCACAGGTCGCTGGGCCCCGCCGTTAACATTGCCGGCATATTTATGTGTATATTTATAGCGTAGGTACGCCAAATTCATACAGCGGCTTGCCGCACAAAATGCACTTTTTGGAATGCAAAAGTCGTTTGAAATTTCCACTTACCATACTGTTCTACTTGAGTGCAGGGTGAGCAATATTCGATAAACTCAATTTTAAACATTAATCACATTTTCTTTTCATTTTCACTCAATTAACGACATTATTGAATTATCCAACTCCAAAATAACTGTAATTTTTGACATGTGACACAAATTTCAGTTGTTTTTATGGCAACCATACTTGATTATTGCTTTACCGAATAGATCATTTTATTACGATTTCTGTGATATATCACATCGTTAGGTTTTTTTCGAAAATAAATGTCTGCGAACAATTTATACTTTTTCAATTTAGTTGATTGAAGTTAGCTATGGAATATATAATATAAGATATATATTCAGTATTTATTTTAACAATTTCGTTAAAATATTCTTATCTTTCCTGGGTCTCAGTCAAAGTGTGAAGTAAAAATTTTGAACATCGTTTATTTCATTACGTTGCGGCGTTACACAAACTACAAACGCCAATTCACAATTAAAACATGTTGTATTAAAACTATAATTTATAAAGTGATAAAAGATTCATCATGTTTTGAGGGCAAGCAGAAATAGTTTTAATTTTTCACTAGTGTACTTCCATACTTATGGCTTTATTAGGGTTTGGTAAATGTTGCTAAGGTTGTCGGTATCTGATCTGAAATTTACTGCTTTTGCATGTTTTTTTATTTGAATCATTTCTTGGATTCTTCTTTTATGATAATTTGTTTCCCTAACTAATATATCTGCGTTGTTAAAATCAACATTGTGCAACATTTACATTCTTCATATAAGTGCAACATTTGGTGTGCATGTTGTGTTAATGCTGCTTTATTTTCACTACTATTTCTCAGTCACTTTCTGTATAATTCCATGGTTTCCAGAGATTTTATTAATTACGAAGCAAGAGGTATTTACGTAATGTTAATTAGGCAGATTACCTTGAAAACATTGTTGACGTCTTGCTAATATAGTTTTTTGCAAATTTCTCAGTTGTTTATAACAATTATTTTTTTTTACTATTTTCTCTGTACTCCTAAAACACCGCCAGACAACACCTCCAGAGGAATGACGCCAATTTTGATTACCAATAAGCCAACGCTTTTCTGATGTTTGGTAAAAAATATATTTCCTGCCATTGACCAAATTTGGAAGCATTTGTAACGGTAATATACAGGGTGATTCAAAATTGGCGTCATTCATTTGAAGGGGGTGATGGAGGCTCACTTGGAGAGTACGAGAAAAATATTTTCAAAATTTTTTTCGAAAATTTCCAGAAGATATTAACAGTTGAAGATCGAATTTCAACTTTGCTATTAAGCATTATTTTGAAATGGTTCCATGTTTAATAGGTAGCATATTGGAATATTTAAGCATTCAAAAAGAAAAATTACGATCTTTGCTTCAAATTACGAAAATTTTCGATATTGAAAAAGTTCTGCTCTACAATTTTTTGATGAAAAGGCCCAGCGGCAATGATGTTTTTTGCCATTAACAGATAGTTACAGGTGGATAGCCCTTGTCAATAATAACAATAATCTGTCAAACTGTGACTTACTTTG